ACGCAGCTCACACTAGTTTTTAGCTAGTTATATCTATTTAGTATTACTAAAGTTTCACAGTTATATTGTTTGCACTCTAAAATATAATCTTCCCTAACACCTATTATTGTGTCAGAAGGAAATTGCTAGCTCTGGGTGTCAATGTTTTGGCTAGTGCAAGACTATGTTGCATGCYGTGTGATTGAAACCAATGAATAATGATAGGCTGCTGGTCCCCTGTGGAGCATATATGGTCCTCCTACAGCGCATACCGTTCAATTATAGTAAATGCAAACTATTAATTAATAGCGCTTCTTAATTTGGGTTTAATGTTTCCCCTTTTCAGACCACATGTCATTCCCTTAAGAATAAGATTTTTTGTTTGAGTTGTATCTCTATTCATGTGTCTTCTCATGTGAAACCGTTAAACAAAGAAATTATAMTCTAGGGAAGAACACATGATCTCGGAATGGGAAAACATTATGCCTTAAGCTATAAGGGTCTATTATCACTACTTACTAGAGAACACTTCTCTGACTTCAGCATCTTTGATCCCATTTGGCAGGTTTCCAATGAACACCTGATGATCATCTGGTGCGTTCCTTGCAGCCATGCGTGCCTCTTTGGTTACAAACCCTGGTCTTTCACGTGGTGGGGCAGGCTTAGCTACAGCAGGCTGGACCACTGGACGCTAGGAGATTAAAACATAATATGAGATCAAAATCCAGGATTTGATGATGATGGTACTGGGCAACCCCACCCCTCCCTGGGTGTTTTTGAGGTGGCAGTTGTTTTGAACTTATCCTGAAAGGCACTTGACCAAGCCTCTTCATGTCTCTTCTGAGACTTAGCCTTCTAGTGCTTTTTCAAATGACAAAATAACAAATGCATTTGTTTCAAGATACAATGCATTTGTTTAATGATGCTACGGATCTCACTTAACTGTGGTTGCATGATAGAAATTAACCACAAAGATGCATGTCTCTGTCAACAAAAGCAAAGGGATGTGTTTATCCATGGGGTGGCATTAGGGATAGTAATATTGTGTATGTTCTGTACATTTTCCTACTTTTTGTCCCTTTTTCTCATTTTTTTCTATTCGAAATGTTTTCTTAATTATTGCTATTTCATGATGTGAGTAAATAAATGATCATACAAATTGCCCCATGACTTAAATACATTCCTTTGCCCTTTGTGGGCAGAGTGGTACATTCTCGATGCCTGAAACACAGCATATTTTTCTCACATGAAACCACTGTTCAGTGAGATCTTTAGTAACTATAATAAATCTAACTTACTGGTGGTGTAGCCTTGGGTTGTGGTTTAGCTGCTGGTGCTGGTGCAGCAATACTGGGTCCGCCACTGGATCTTACTAACAAGTCTGCCCAGGTTTTGGGTTTCTCCTCTGTAGAACAAAAATGACAGCAAAATAAATTGCAATACGCTTGCAGTGAAGTCCCATTATCTCGAACTTCAGGCCTTGATTTGTTGAATACTCTGGTTTTTAGTTCTTTATTGCTCAGTGTTAACCTTAATAGCATGTCAAATATTCTTTAGTATTAGTAACAGTCTGTGGTAATGAGGTGAGAAATGTATACGAAGGAACAATAAAATATTGTTWTAGAAATGCACAGGTTTGTCTCAATTCTGAATATTTTTTTGTGATCAACACCGAGCAATATAGAACTCAAAACTGGAGTATAGAGGCTTTGCACAATCAAGTGATGGCAGCCATGACAGGAGGCACAAYAATAAAGTCTTTTTTCCATGGGAAACTGAATTCTTTCTCATTAAGATCAGATTAGACCAGATTCAATTGTTCCTGCCTCCTGTCATGTGATGGTGCAAAGCCTCTATTGTGTCACTACTATTTCATCCTTGATAGATATCTTGGTCCTCGGTTCAGGTTCAAGATAATGGGATTCCACTAATACACAAGGGTACGTGGGAACAATGATACAATGATTTACTTGATTGATAATCGTCTACTGACAATTAACATTACCYAATATTTTTCTTAATCAGCTCACAGTATTATGGTAAACTGTGAAGCAAAAGGTGGTAAACGTGAATGCATATGCTGTACGTTAACTGATAACAAACCTTGTTTGGGAGATTCCTGTACTGGTTCATCATCCCTTGCATCTCTGAACATGTCATTGGGTGCTTCATCACTTGGCACTTGCTGAAGATGAGCTGTATCAGGTTCTTCTGGCTCTGCATTCTTTAGGTCAGGCATTTCAATGGCAGGCTCATTCAGYGCCACCTATTAGGATCAATAATGGAATAGATTAATACTTATACCAAGATATGGGCTCAAAACTGCACCAGTTTTATCACAACCAAACTAAAAAACAAACAGTAAGAGCTGTCTAGTACCTCAGTAAGTTGTTTGTCAACCACAATTTCTTGTAGTTCTTGTGACTCTTCCTGCATCAATTGATTCTGCATCAAACCAGAACTTTCACTGCAACAAACAAATGAGCCAAACAAATGTTATACCCAYCATCATAATTATGTATCCTGAACCACTAGCTATAAATTCAAGTAGTCGGGGTTTTAACTTCTGTCAATCCAATTTCTAATCGTTCGAATTAGTAACTTTTGTCATTGACTGAGGCCAAGAACCCAGACATATAGGAAAATAAGGAAATAAGGAGAAACTATAGGCTGGGTGGTGGTATTGTACAGCCTGGCTACTAAAATACTTGAATTGTGCTGGATATCGAAAGACCTCATACAAGAGATCAACATGCCAATAGTCCCCTTCACAGTTCCCTGCGCCATCTTGAAAGGTAGCCCTGCCTTCGCATCGAAGGGAGACAAACGGTGAGCTTACGATGATAGAGACATGTAACTAATGGTCCAAGGTGTAAAAAAAATGTCTTTATCATCGCAAGCTCACCGTTTGTCTCCCTTCGATGCATAGGCACAGCTACCTTTCAAGATGGCGCARGGAACTGTGAAGGAGACTATTGATTTTCATATATTTGCACCACAAGAATGCTGACAATACTATGAATAAGGTACCTACCTATTGTTCCTGATGGGGTCTGTGTAGTACAGATTAGTAGCAGGAACATCTTGAGCAACGTTCTGTACCAGAACAGAATCTTGTTCATAGTTTGTCACTCCATTTGTCACTTGGTTGTTTGTTTCTTCTTCACCTTCAGAATCTTTTATTATTAGGTAAATAAATAAAGAAATAATTAAACTTACTTACTCTTTATAAAGGCCCAAGAAAGATTGATATCTTTTCTTACCTACTGTGCCGTCAGCAGTTTCATCACTTGTTTCCTCAGGGAAAACCTCATCTTGATACCTGAATATGTCGTTGTGGACATAGTACTTTCTTGTGTCCTGGAAAGGAGAGTGAAGACAAGATTCATGGTTATCATTGCCCCCTCGCAAAGCAGCTCAATTTGAAGGAAAAAACAAAAGAATTTCTATCTCCTGAAAATGGTAAAGCTAATGGTTATGTCCTCCAAATTGAGCTGCATTCTGACATACTGCACAGGGTCTATTGCTGATTTTCAATCATTCCCAGTGGAGTGATTTAATTCCATTCCATGTTGGATGATTTAACAAAAACATTCATTGACAAGACTATTGTTAAATTCATCCAAAATGGAGAATATGACATCATGTGCAAATGAAGAATGGTTACCACTTCAGCTAGGTCAATGTAGAAATATGTAAATAAGATAGTTGTTATTATAAAAGGGTAAAACTATATTAGTCACAATAAGTTAAACCTTAGTTTATTAAGTCCTACCTCTCCAGGAGCCAAGACAAAAGTCTGCATGAACCTGCGCATGGACTGTCCATTGTTGGATAGTTCTCCAGACACTTGGACGACTACCCCTTCTGACAGGGTAGAGTGACTGTCCACTTGCCTTATCTTAGTGCGACAGTCCACAAAGTTCAGGTCTTGGATTTTCTTATAGATAGCCTGTGTAAAACAATTGTTATTGCCAACTGCATTAAAAAGTGTCATCAAGCTCAAAATAATGCAAGGGCAATGGACGATAACTGGCTAAAATCTAATTATTCATTCGCACTCTTTAGATGGATAAAATGAATGGCTCTTCTACCTGTCCTCTTGACAGTCACATTGATCAGTCCAATGTGGCTTGTTGTCAAGTACATACTCCTTAGAAATAACAAATTCATCTTCACAAATTTCTAAACTTTTGGTTTTCTGTATTACCTCTTGGCCCATGACAGGCGTTTCAGAGTGGCCATTGGCAGAGTCTCCATGAAGAAATCTGGAATTTTTGGTGTAGAATCTAGACAAAAAAAGCAAGAACAATTAATATTTCTAAACTAAAAAGAGGAAACAGAACTCTGGTTCCAGTCGTATGAAGGGTTAATAGAGCTTTCTGATGGATAAATCTTATCAAGTAGATAAATTTATTGGATAACAGCATCGACTTATCTACTGGATAAGGATTTATCCCTTGGATAGTGCTATCCAGGCTTCGTACAACCGGGCCCTGGTTACTTTGTACTTTAAATTACACTGATTTTAGCTTTTAAAATTGAGATTTTTATATACTTTTATGTACTTAAAAAACAAACCAATGACCCTGTAATATGAAAAATTGGTATTCATCCCCCCCCCCCCCCCCCCCCCCCCGAAATTCGAAAATGTTACCATATTCTCTTAAAACAATTCCTTTCAGAAACAAATGTTGTAAAGAACTGTCAAAAATGATCTTGAAGAACAAAAATAGATTTTATTGAACAATTTTATGAATTACCTGGGCTTTTTTAATAAATACCAATGTATACTTTTAATAAAATCTTTTAATATCTAGATGGGAATATTGGGCAATATAAATATGATTATATCAAAGTTAAAATTTACCTGTGAAGTTTCAAAGGGTCTTGATTGAGTACAGTATAATATTGCCTTACAAATTCTCTGCCCACACACTGAGGGCTCAGAACTACTGGAGCTCGATCACGAACCACTGCCATCTGCACCATCACCTGTCTTACTGCAAGAAATAACAACAGTCAACATTATTTTTCTGCACCTATCTTAAATATTTTACTCCTAACGATACACTTGAACTTAATTTTTAATATTTTTTATTTTTTGATCACATACCAAAAATAATCCTAAAACAAACCTGTTAAAATTTAAAAAAACTACATTCACGATAAAATGCAATCATCATCAAAACAAATAACTGTATTTTTAAAACTAATTTGAATTGCAGAACGTTATATTTTGTTTGTCATAATGTAAATTAAGAATCCAAGTGGGAGAAGAGAAGACTCTTTATTACGGATGATTATTGATTATTGTGTACTTAACATATTTTAAATCAGATTTTTTAAACTGGGATGCTGAGAGAACACTTGGAAAGCTGGAAACTACTTTGGTACGCTTCAGGGTTTCCTTTGCTTCTCTCATGTTCTAGCAGCATCCCATGTGTTTAAATCAGAACATCTAAAATAGAAAACCGTTTTATCTAATGAAGATCATCACACAATGAGGTACCGATCACAAGAAATATCTTTTTACTGCAAACAAAACTGGAGCCTTGCTCTTTGTAATGAAAATAGTCATTTGTTCATGTAATAAATCTAGACATTGCTAGATACATAGACAAGCAAGCTGCACATACATAATATACAACGTAATTTCCCTGCATTGGTATAATTATTACTGTCTGACACTGCAGACTATAAATAATTGGAGCATTTTGTGATTAGTCTATGAGAATAGATTTATTTAGTTTGAATATACCTAGAAAAGCAACGGAATTGTGTATCTCTGCATTCTTAAAATTAAATTTATTTGTAAAGAAGGCAATATTTCTTTGCCATATCATAAACCTAAAATGAGTACAAAGTATAGGCTGCCATGCACTTACGTTGCTAGGGATATAAGTCAGATTTTCTTTTTTGTAATGCTTACAGTAAACTACAAAATTAAATCATACGTCTCTCCATGGAATTGCTTCACATTCAAGATAAATTTGAAAGAGTCCTATCCATATCTGTTGACCATCTTATTAGACCAACATTCCTGTTTAAAGGCTTATACATTTCGTTCATTTAGACTGAACACCACAGAACTCACCACCAGACAAAGTATTGAAGGTCTAACCAACTAAACTAGCTCAGCAAAAAATCTTCACTAGAATTAACTTAAGCACACGATTGTGAGAGGGAATTAGTGGTAGTTCATTCGTCTCTTACTCAAGGATTTTGGGTTCGATTCCTGGACACCAAATTATTGCAAGAAAAATTCATTGGGCTTTTAATTCTCTTGATTTTAGGGTTTTTCTTTGGGTTTTCCACTTTTTCTCCCTCTGCAAAACCTAATAAGCTGAAATCCTATTTGATCTGTGACTTACATGAGCCCAAAGGTTGTTTTTAAGGGTTAAACAAAACTTGTTGCAAATGGCTACTCAGTGCTAACATCATTATTATAACACTGTATTCTAATCATGCAATATTATTTCCAACCGGTTTGAAATTTTCTTTTGTATAATGGTCAATGGTTAGAACTGTGTGTCTATCTTGTGCAAGAAAAAGAAAAAKAATGATATCTTTGGATTGATTTTATAGGTCTTGAATGAATGACATATACATCCCTTTACAKGAAAAATCTAAACCAAAATGATATTGGAAAAGCTTTAAAACACAGTACAAAATTTTGAGATTCTTGATTGCAGGAAGTCATAATACAAATAATGTAAAATACTACGAAAAACACCTGTAAAAAACAGTCTTTAGTTGACGAATCTCTAAGTGAAGAATCTATAATAGGTTCAAAAGCCTTTTAATATTAGCAGTATCATTTATTTTCTTAATAAAAGGAGAGAAGTGAAAGCATTGCAAAACRAGAGAAGACTTGGAAGAGTACGTAGAATAGGATCGTTATCGCCGTCAAATACAGTCGATATTAGCAACTGCAACCAAGCTATAGTCTAAATACTTAATAGAACTATCCGACAAAAAGGAAACAGTAATCAAAGTGCAATAAAACTTCAAATTCGAGAGCAAGTCATCGCCATACAAGCATATATATCATTTGTTAAAAAAAGAATTAGCGCGCCACTATTATCACAAACTAGTGTGCTTGGAGTTAAACCAAATCAAAATAGTTTACCACGACGCCAAAAAAAGCAAATTCACGTTRGATCTGTCTAGAATACTACCTAGTAGCCTCAAAAGTACGATAACAAAATATTACGAAAGGTTGATAATGGATCATACACCGGCATTTTTTAGGACGACTACTCGTGAAGTTCGTAGTTTAGTTTAGTTTTCACAGATTCCCGCAATCAATAGAAATTACAACTAAAGATGTCAGCTTTTGAAATGAAGTGAGGTTATGATCGAGATCAGTAGACCAAGGATTTAAAAAACATCGAGCAAAGCCCGCGTTTCACGTCCAAAGTCGCTAAAATCAAATGTAATGCCCAGCCCAACACGCGTTCGTTTTTGACCTGTTTTTCTTCACACACTGGCGTAAAAAAACTCTGAAAACTTAACTTTTAACAGCTTACCTACCTTGTAAATCTATCTAGTTCACAAAGAGAGAAGTGTAAAAGTCATTTCTGTTCCTTATAGCTGTGTTTAGTTGTTTTTTGAGGATGAAAATCGAGTTTAAAGTGCAGAGAATGGCAATGATTTTCAATCTTTTCCCTTCTCTTCCAACATGGAATCACATGCGCACATCATTCACTGCACATGCGCAATACATGTCCAGGCCGAAACTGAAGGGGAGGGCGGAGTAGGAATGGTGACTAGGGGGAAGAAAGGACGGTATTCGTCCAGCGAAAAACTAAATGGAATCAAATGGAATGGGATGGGATGAGATGGAACGAATGAAAAAAATTGAGAGAGGGAATAATAATTCATAAGATGGGGTAAGGTGTGAGCAGAAAAAAGTATGCTTGCTCATGTTTTGCACCCCACCAATGTGTAGAGCCTATTTTATATACCAATGCACAGATGCAGATCATAAACTCTTTTACTGACTTCATATCTGGCGTGGCCATTAGTCCAGTGATCTAACATGCTAAAGTAGGGTGGCCCATTGCTATCAGGGCCAAATTCAAGTGACTTGTGCATATTTTAGCGATTGTTGGCTTGGTAGCAAAAAATGTTAAACCATCTTTTGCCCCCCCCCCCCCTTCTCTCCCTGGTTAAGTATTATATAGGAGATTATAATGTCCCTGACTGCTGTCAGTGCAACCAGTGCAAGGTGGTGGACTGTGAATAGTTACTACGGTTACTTTTTTGCTGGCAGGGACAGTCCCTCAACCATTTTTTTGGAAGACAAAAGAAATACTTAGTGAAATTGTAGAGCCAGTCTAGAGGGGATTGAGGAGCATTATTCCAATTTTATATTATTACATTCTCAAAATACCTTCAAAGCCCTTCACCCCACTCCTTTGCCACTGTACTTCAAAAGTAGTTTTGCATGATGGCTTAAGTTTTTGATCTTCATTTATTGCAGCATATTTTCGCAGACATTTTATACCCTCCTGTACTTCTTAGTAAGTTTTGCCTCATATACATTATACCAGAAAAATGTGCAGCTTGAACGTTCTCACTGTATGGGAAAGAAATGACGATAAAGTCAAGCTAATTATGTGGGCTAAAAATCTAATGCATTTTCATCTTTACACAAGGACTGTTCTTTTCTTTATGTTTGCACTTAACTTTTGATCATGATTATTGAAATATTAGGAATCAAGAAAGATGCGATACATTTACATAAAAGGTCACCAGAATGTTCCATCAATAACCTTCACTGAATGGTACAAAGTCTGCACTTGGTTTAATGAAAAATATTACAAATCAATACTGCACATGTATTTCCTTTAATTATGCATTACTTGCAAATGGTATAAAACAAACAAAAAACATCCATAACCACAGGTTATAAGTAGCCCACTTCCAAGAATATGCTTCGATTGATAGGTTTGCGTAAGAGACTACAGGTTAAATTAAATTAATTTTTTCCTTCTTTTATGAATCACCAAGCATTATACATGAAGTCTCACAATAAAACCTTTATGTGTGAAAAGCRAAGCATATTTTGGAATCAGACAATATATTAAAAGCCAAAACTGGAGCTCCCGGTCCTGCAAAGTGCCTCAAAGAATTCAAAAACTAAATGTACATTGTCTGAGCTATCTCTGTCCAATCGTTGTATTGATAAAGCATATAAAACTACCAGATAACATGTGGTCTAAGTAGATATTGTTGTGTTTCTAAGTAGCTGCCCTGCGGTGATATTCTGGAGGAGCTGTTTCATAGTCAGTTGAAAACAAACTATCTGCATTGGCTGCCAGGTATTCTAAACAATCGTGAACATGTCCTACTATAAACCGTATACTCTTATCTTCTAAGTTGGAATAAGATATAGCATTGCCAAGCTTTACAAACAACCTTAGCAAGTGTTCTGATCCATAAATTTGAGACATTGGTAAGTTGGGGTTTTCAGCTAACAAATCACCATACTGGGGACGTTCAAATTTATATAGAAGCTGAGTTCCAAGCATAACATTGAAATATTCTTGAACACCATCTACTACTTCTTGAGCAACTCCTGGTTTTACACCATTTGGATTCTTGGCCCTATATTTAGCATATTCATCTAAAATATCAGCGACAGTCTTTTTCCTTGGTAATGGAACAAGCTGTTTTTGACGTGTTATCAAATCCCAATCATCCACAAGCCACTGCTTCAAATCATCTGGTATCAATATCTTCACATCCAATCGAGAAACATCATTTTCGTCATTTTCTACATTATTTAGTCTTGCACGTTTTCTTCTTGTTGGCCCTGAGCTATGTACATCTTCACGTTTTGTACTTTTCTCGGAATCACTTGCCAGATTTCCACTTTTGTCTTGCTTTCTTCTAGCTCTTTTACTTTTACTACGAAGAAATAGAATACATGTTAATAATAAGTCATTAACTATAACTGCACAGTCCTTCATAGCAGTTATATCAGTAATTTTAATTTGGAGATATTCCTGCTATGCCAAAGTAGAGTAATTTTATTTTGTCAAAAAAGAAGGCATATTACTTCCTCTATTTTACAGATGAAGTAGAACCACTCTATATGAATAAAACATTAAACTAGCCTAACCACTCCTTGTTAGAATGATATGAGTACCATGAACACTGTGTAATGTCCTTCATCATTACTCTAACGAATGATTAACTTATGAAACATCAATAATTTTATTAATATTTTATGATGTCATAACCAAATTTTGCCAACCATGTGACGTTCAAATGACATTAATCTAAAAGCCATTCCTTCTCGTGCCATTTAATAGAAGCTAACTTTTCTTAACAACTACTCACTAGTCGGATCTGGTGAGGGTTCGACCAAAACAATAAATTATTACAATATTTGTTTGATGTAAGGTAATGCACACTTTAGCATGAAAATTATAAAAAATGTCCAGAAGCCAAAAAGAACATTAGCTTACATCGACAACCACTTTGAAGTACGATTTTATCGATCAGAATAACATATAAAATAGGAAGTGAAACAATCCCAAGAAAGAAGAAAATCAGATCGGCTTCTGATCCCCAAGGCAGACCGGCTAGCTCCACGTGTAGGGGAAGATCTCTCAATCACCATGAGTTATATATCTGACAAACGCCTTACTACAACTACTACATCAATGCTCTCGAGACAATCACATCATACAAATGACTCATTTTCTAAATCAATACAAACATACATTTGCTCTCTAAGTTCCCTCTGTTTTTGTAGATTGGCTTCGTTGAATTTTAGAACTCGGCTCTCCGGTACCCACTCATCCCAATTTTTGTTCCAGCCGTTGTAATGAATCAAATAGCGAGGTGTTTTTTCCTTTACTTGGCCCTTCATACACTTGGCTTCATATATCAAAGGTCCATGAAAACATAACACGCGTTCTCCTTCGGCAAATTTAAGTTTTGGTGGCATTTGGTAATRGAATTTGTTTAGTTTTTGCTGGTTGCTGACTCACTACCGGCAAACTTCACTCGAATGTCGAAGAGTTCGAAGAAAACGTGGTTGCTTGACATAGTACGAGCAATTTGATTGGTCAATTGACCTAGATTCCTAATAATTGACCAATCACAGACGTGATTGTATTCGTTCTCGACAATGCATTGCGGGTGGATTTCGTTTTGTCAAACCGAAAAGTTTTTCATACTTTTCAGTAAAATGTTTTGAAAAACATTTCTGAAAGTTGTCAAAATCATGCTTCTGAAAAGCTTTTTATACTCGTGGGGTCTTTAGCATACATTCCTGAAATGGGAATGAGAAAGAATTTGAGATTTCCTATTTAGAATTCCCACTTTTCTGCCCAAGACGGAAGTGGAAATACGATATTTACTGGAAGAGTTGATTCACAATGGCTTCTATGACGAGGGCATTTACTCAACTATTCGCGTACAAGAAGTCGTTGTTCTGTATGATCTTCGTAGTAGCCCTCATCCTATTCATAGAAAGCTTCTTCTATGTGTACAGTGATGCAGACGAGTCGTTACTCGAAACTATTGGAGAACAGTTTGTTAAATTTGAAGGTAAATTAGGTAATGATGTCCATGTCATACCAGACGTCCCACAAAAATCACCCGAATATGATGAGAACTGGATGGATAGCTATTCCGAAGGTAGTCCAGAAACCTAAAAAAATGTCTAATATCTTAACTAAAACCCAAARAGCTTACTCATAATGATATGAATACATTTTTATGTTTGTCTTTTACAGGTCCCTACTAGGGAAATACAGAGATATGAGGTTTGATTGGCAGCTAATTCGGCCCATAATGAACGATGACGAGCCAAATCTGATCTGAAATAGTGACATAGAAATAACATCACTGCAAAACTGAGGTGTCATGAAGCCTGTGACATTGACCAGCGAAAAATTTAAACCTGTCCAACATTGCAATAAAAATCTGCAACTCATTAGTTATGGTGGTATCGTTACCAACCTCTTATTAGAATTGTTTTTTCATTTGTTGGCCTGGAAATCCATAATTTCAAGAGAAAAAGTGACACCTCAGTTTTGCAAATTTTCTTGATTCTGATTGACTAAAATTTTCACAGACCAGCTAGTGTTGACACAACTTATTGTTGGTAGCATCTCCCTTCAATTTTCCATTAATTTCCTTCTATTTTCTCTCACTCAAGAGAAATTAAAGGTAGGTGCTACCAACAGGGAAATAAAAAAATCATGAATTCTTTTGCATTTTAAGTTTCTAAAAGTGTCACGTTCATATTTTTCAGTGGTGTGTTTATACATGTATATTACGTATGGTGGTGTGTTTTTGTTTGCTGCACATGCCTTGTTATTACAGTAATTATGTGACACAGTCCATGTGTCTTAGCCCTAAATACCTTGCTCRCCATTTGAGTTTCCAGTAGCTTAGAGGTTAGAGCATCCACTAGAACATGAACGGTTGTGGGTTCAATTCCCATCTGGAGCTCAGAATTTTTTTCCATTTTTCCTTTTTCTGCATGCATTTCCTTCATACTTGTGTTTTTATTTTTTATGCACTAACCAATTCAAACTGTCATTTTTGATAGAGAACTTATATTATGATAAAGTTGATCATAATCTCCAAAATATAAAGAAACCAGCAGCTTATGCTGCCAAACACAAGCTTCCCATCATTATTTGGTGGACTCATTTTACTGGTGGTAATAGTATAAAGAGGTGTCCAAAGGGTGATTGCTATATTACAGAGGCTCGTAAATTCAAGACTCACCCAAGAACAAAAGGGTTCCTGTTTTATGGGACTTCATTCACTGCACATGATCTACCACTTCCTCGACTAGGTAGGTTTAATTTGTTGCTCTAGATTCCCATTTTTTCTGTGATTATGACAATCAATGACTTGTATGACACCACAGGTTAACATTTCAGTGTACATGTGTACACTGTATATCTTTAATATCAAATTATTTAAATTTTCAGCTCACCATGAATGGGGTTTGTGCCACGAAGAATCACCTAAAAACAACCCTATCTTACATCACCAATCCACCATCGAGCTCTTCAACCATACTTCAACATTTCGCCGTCATTCAGATTATCCTCTAATAACTCAATTCCTAAATTCCATAGAAACCCTTCTTACTCCACCTCAATTTAACTTGAACCAGAAAAAAAAGAATGGACTTGCATCAATAATTTACATTCAGTCTGGKTGTAACCCACCATCAGACAGAGATGCTTATGTAGAAGAGTTAATGAAATACATCAAGATAGATTCTTATGGTAAATGTCTCCATAACAAAGACCTTCCTTCTAAATATGTAGACCCTATGACAATGGATGAAAAAGGTTTCCATGATATCTTAGCCCAATATAAATTTACTCTGTCCATGGAAAATGGAATCTGTGAAGATTATATRACAGAAAAATTGTGGCGTCCATTAATTTTAGGCTCAGTTCCAATTTATCGTGGATCTCCTACTGTTAATGACTGGATGCCGAACAGCAAGTCAATTATTTTGATTGATGATTTCAAAAGTCCTAAGGAACTAGCTGATTACATTCACTGGCTTGACAATAACGATAAGGAGTATTTGAAATACCTTCAATATAAGACTGAAGGCGTAACTAATRAAAATTTGTCAAATTTCATGAAAGCAAGACCTTGGGGACACACATTTAGTGAGCAAACATTTGTTTCTGGCTTTGAGTGTTTAGTATGTGACAGAATTCATGATAATCTGAAGCTGGAATCCAATGGATTGCCAAAAAAGACGCACATTGCAAATCAGGATCATTATGGCTGTCCTAGACCAGTCATGTTTGATTTTCAAGACTCTAAACTTGTTGGTAAAACTTATGAAAGAAGGATATGGATGGATGAATATGATCAGAGTAAAATACAGTCAGAAATGCTTAAGCAAAAAGTACTGAGTTCCACCCCAAAGCCATTGGAAATTAGTTAGTTACTTCAAAATAATGCAGTACATACAGTATGACCACCTGCGACATGTCAATTGGTGAGGAGTTAGTGAAGTGTTGGTAAAATGTCAACTGATGATCACCCATCAGTCACCCAATAGACTACTTTGACAATACAGTGGCCATCTTGGGAGGGCATCCAGGGGGTAAATATAGAGCTAATATGAGGCTTAATGATATATTTTTCTTTATATCGCCTGTTATTATTACATCCAAAGACAGCACATAACATGCCRTTACCCATGAAAGAAGGGTAAACTCAACTCGATATGTGATCTTCCATTTTTGTTTTGCTCCCCTGGAGGCCCCTTAATGCCTTTTGATCCAAGATGGCTGCTGTATCCTCAAAGTAGTCAATAATTGTTGATTGATAGATAACGACTAGTTTTGGAACTAGCTTGGATTGACATGTGTGGGCTTGTTGATTGACATGTGTCGGCTGGTAATAAATGAAATACAGCAAGTTTGAGTTAAAGTCCTTTTAGAGACTGCTCCAAAAATTATAAAATTTTTCATGTTTGTACACCTAAATACACTTATTTCAATAAAGTTAGTCACCTGAAAAGCTACAAAGCTGAGACTGACAAGGATTATGGGTACTGTAGATACATTTTACATGTTTCAACTKCTTGATAAACTTGAGTTCTTCTACTAGTTACAAGTTAACCTCCTCTGAGCATCCTCAACTGCTGCAGTTTGTGTCAAAAGCTTTACTTGTTGGATATAAAACATTTCCTTATGATTCTCAGAGATCACAGCTTTCTAGGTTTTTGGTGACTAACTTTATTGAAATAAGTATATAGACAAAATTTCATAAACAAAAACTTCAAGTACAAATTATAAACAAAAGTTCCAATAAACATTTTAAAATCTCAACTTTCTTAAAGAAGGTTGGCATCAAATTTTCAGCAAAAATTATGATTATTTCTTTTAGAAGAAAATTTTTTTAAACAAATTACCAAAATCAAAAAATTCAATTATAAATATATTTTATATATAAATATCTGTAAATCAAAATGTGTATATCTATGGAGATTGATAAATTCTTTATGAGAGATAAATAAACTTCCACAATGTTAATTATCTGGTTTAATTGAAAGATCAATCGTCCACTAAAAGTTCCTTAAAGTCTTGATTGCCAGGACCCTTCCTTTTTTGAAATTATCTCCCCCACAGCCACTATCAGTGTCATTACCAAAAAAAGGCTAAGAGAGTCTAAGAACCATGAAGACAAAGTCTCGATAATGTATCTGATGGTTTAAAATTTTTCAATCCCCCTCTCCCCTCCATTTTACTGGTAAAAAAATCTCCAATCCCCCTAATTTCACCTGCCCCTCCCTCTGCCATACATTATGAACACAGCCTTAATACCTTTACTGATTTCGCTATTTTTATTTATTATCTCTTAAGCCTATCAAATAGAAGTCCAATTAGTTACATAGGGTTTGTGCAAACACTGTTGCTTATAAAGATTTTTTTCATATTAATTTTGCACTGAACCATGAATGTACGAATTCATCTATATACTTTCTGTTATCACCAGTAACCAAACTTAACAAACTCATTAATAGTTCATGAGGAAAACACAATAGACTTGGATTTTCTTGGGCAGATTCACTTTTATCTTGAAAATGTTAGTGAAACAAAGGAACTAACCTAGATGATTGTTAAGGAAACCGCTACGCCTTGAGTTTATATATCGTATACAACACGGCCACTCATACTGTATATATTACTTACAACATAGTGATTTTTATATTGGTTCTTTAGTCTTACAATAGATTTGATCTATTTTTAACAGGATAATTCTAAAATTAACTTTAATTTGTGGTTTTAAACCAAGTTATTACTTACACCAGAGCATGGCTGAACATGATGCAATGTTGCATGCAGCATTGACGTGCGGAGTCAATTTGTAGTGCATCATCAATTTRATGCTGCATATAACCCCATGCTGATCTTAAAAGTAGGAACCTTTTCTATTCATGACATGTTCAATATCACAAGGCTGATTACACTACATTTTTTTTCTCCAATGCAATCAATGTAGCATGCAATTTGCATGTATAAAATTGGGGCAGAACTAGGGGAGAATAATTGCACACACATCTATATGAGCTGATATCTACTGTGCTGTTGATGCTTAAGTTGGTGAATGGCTAAATCAGGGGGAGTGAATAAAGATATGCAAATCTATCGATACAATTAAATTAATACTGCAATCCTAAAATAAATTGATAGTTGCCTAAATCAGTGCCCGTAGTATACTGTTACCTCACTACACAGATTTCAGGGTCACATTCTTTACCTTTAGCATATTATGAAAGCAATTTATGCAACTAATAAGCTTCATATTGTTCTTCCTGTATTCTGCTTGATCTGAAATGCCTTTGCAAAAAAATTACATTCTTTGCTTACATTTTTTGAGTACAGTCTTTGTRTTACATACTTTCTTTGCCCAGTACAAAAACCTATAAATTATCTTTTCATTCTTACCTCTAAAAACACATCTACACAAAATTAAAAACACTAAGTGTTATTAAACCATTTGTAACATTTTCTAATATACAGCCAACTATTTATTATTTTCTAGAATGGCAGTGTTCATGTCAAATAGCTATGATCTTGCAGAGAAATTATACAACAAACCTATATGTCTGATTTTGTGGTACTGTAACATCCAGGATGAATAATAACTTAATTGTTTTTCATGCTGCTTGTGCCATTYCAAGATTCTCTCTGACTTGAATTTCTTTTAGATTATTTTATAAACATAAAATAAATGGGACAGGTATAGAGTTCTACCTCTAAGCTCATACCGGCCTTGAATAAAAACTGCCTACCTAAATATTTGTAAAATTAATATATACCAGTGTTCACTGCTACTCTAATACTTTAATCTATAAATACTGTACATAATAAAATACACGATGACCTATAGTTACCTTATATATCATAAGGTAAAATACTGTATGGTAAAAATCTTGCTTGGAGAAGCAACAGTCGCTGGAAACGTAGCTTTTCTCCAGGGAACTTTACTTACTGATTGTAGTAACAATAAAAACTAAACTCACAAACATTTTTTTCCACACTATGTTTCCAAACCCTCATTACTGTCTCCATTAAAAGTATTTGTCTGTTCTATATGTACTTCTTGTAAATGTGGAATAGTGACCTCTGGTTCAATGTTGATGTTGTTTCCCGTTGGACTGCATGTGCAGGTACTTTGCTATGAGAAATAAAGGACCACACTTTATCATTTCTACTTCTAATACCATCACCAGCTCCACTATTACCACCATTAACAACACCAATATCACTATTACCACCACCACCACCAATACCACTACCATCACCACTACCATTAAAGACACAGTACTACCACCACCAATACCACTGGCATTGCAACCAACACCATTACTACTGTCACTACTACCACTGCCACCACCAACACTGCCAATACCACCACTACTACTTCTAACACCTCCAGCATCATGATCAACAACAGCTCCACCATTATTGCTATAACTGCTGTTGCTAAAGTTAATGATAATGACTGAATAATTACCAAGAATACAGTTAACCATATGAATGAGGGAATGAATGGATAAATAAAGTTAATGAATGAATTTAATTTGAATGGATGAATAGTTGAGATGGGTCGGCTTAATGCAGAAGATGTATTGGTGGACAAAGGAATGAGAGAAACATAAAAGGCTTTACCTGAGTTGCTTGAAGCTGTTTTTCAAGTTGAAGTATTTTAACATCTTTCTTTAAGTTTTCTGTTTCCAGTCGTTGGACTTGATTTTCTAATCTAATTAAATCTCTCTCCTGAAATATGATGAAACAGTAAATATACCTATGCTATGTACTAGTTATAAAGCAGGTGATAATCGGCCAATAAATTGCAAGAGAAGTGTTAAGAGAAGCATGACACAGCGTAGTGTGTGCTTACATAAAGCATGTGCCCTAACCAATCAGAAAACAGTTATTTTAGAATAAACAATTGCTGCAAAATTAAAAATTCAAGAAAAAAGGTAACATGGTTTACTTCTCTAGGGTAGATTTAAAGTCTAACAGGTTTTATGACCCACTTGATAAACCAAATGATAGTTCAAATTTAAAGTCGATTTTTATGGTGGGATGAAAAACTGGAGAACCYAGARAAAAAAAACCATGAACCACAGGGAAAAAGCAACAAACAAGTGAATTGTACTGGGGTCACTGCACATGCCACCTGCACTTCCCAAAATTTATTTGTATAACTTCTAGTATAATATTATCTAATGTATTATGCATACCTTGAGGGCATGTAACTGGGTTTCCAGCTCAGCAATATGAGAAATTTTACTCAGGTTTTCTTGTTCAAGTATACGAATGTGGTGTTTAAGAATGGTGATCTCATGGGCTTTTCCTTCCAACTACAAAAAAAGAAGAAAAAAACATGCAAAATTTTAGATTAAAATTTCAATGTAATATTTTTGTGGTTTTCAGATGTCGTCACRCAACACACCTGTAGGTTAGCTTGACGTTTTGATAATCCAGGTGAGGCGGCCACTGACCCAGACATCATGCCTTTGGATAAATAACTGGATGGTGATGGTCTGATAGAGGTATGCGATGGTAGTAGAGTGACTGATGACCCTGATGTCCGCAGCACTTCATTGACACCTGATGAAAGTGCAAAGTGGGAAGAAGGAACAGAAAAGGGTGTATTTAGAGGGCTGTTAAGAGGTGTGAATGTAACATGAACTGTGGTTTTGGAAGGATTTGTACTGGTTGTTGAAGATGTTGTTGTATCATCCTGGTCATTAGACATATCAGCAGTTTTGTCTCCAACATTAATTTCTGACCATGAGACTTCTGCTGTATTTTCTTCTGTCTTTGGTGTTTGTGGATCATTCTCTTCAAATGCTTTGGTGTTAGTATTGATAGTATTTTCTGGCRTTGCCATGGTTGGGCCAATTGATGGTCTGACACGCTATTGAAAAAATATTTTWAAAATATCATTATATCAAAAAAAATATCATTAATAAAGAGAAATCATCCTCCATCCCCACCTACTCCCTCTCTAAAATTGCCAATGATTTATACCCAATAATTATAAATGTAAATAAACCTGATATAGGATATTGCTATCCAATAGATAAATCCTTACCCAGAGGACAAGTCAATGCTGTTATCCAATAAACTTATGCACTGGATAARAGTAATCTATCCGACAGATATTGCTATCTACCCTTCGTACAACTGGGCCGAGAACATTAGATCACCAAAACATCATTAAAAACTTTTGTTAGGAATGGAAGTGGAACGGATGAGAGTGAACAAAAAAGAATGAAAGAATAGATGAATGGAGAAATGAAGGAAAGACGAAAGAAARGAAGGGAGGAAAACCAGAGGAATGACAAAGACTTATTTACTGGAACATGGTTCCAACTAAATATGTTATTTGTTGTGAAATGTGGTCGTCAGGGTGAGCAGAGTCTTGAGATAGACTGTTGTTGTTGGTGACTGATGTTTCATCTTCAGAGTCCAGTGAGAAAACGAGAGACAGTCGATGGTATTTATACCTCTGGTTGGGTCGTAATCAACAACAACAGTCYTTCTCAGGACTACACTCACCCGGATGATCACATTTCACAACAAACTTCAACACCTGGGTTCAAACCATTTACTGTACTCYTAAATTATATTTTTCAATCATTTTGTATAATAACTCTTACTTTCAACATATGCCTAACTTGATCTCCATTTGGTACCAAGCGTGGATCATCTGCATTCAAGCCTTGATCTTCAACATACTTTTTAAACCACATTAAAGCTTCATCAGGGCTTGCTCCTTCCATTCTCTTCCTCTTTAGTTGATTCCTGACAGCCGCAGGTACCCGATGTTTGTTCACATCTGTAATATTCCCAGCCCCGTGGCTCCCGGAGAAATAAATCTCCGACATATTTGGATCATCTCCGTATATGCTAACTTTACACTGAGCGTAGCAGTGGCGTCGTTTCCCTGTACAGTTGGCTCTCGGTGTACAACCATAGCGTCGACCAGGACAAAAAAGGCACTCACTGACGAGAAGATAACGATCGATGTTGGATCTGTTACTCAATGGACGCATTCCATCTTTCAACTTACAACCTACGTTTCCAGTGATCGTTGGTCTCTCAGCTCGGCCCGATGGAGTATCGATCATAGCTCCGTTTCCAAAGTTCAGCCGTTCGAAGTTCCAACTGATTTGCTTGGCAAAAAATGTTGGAAGATCAGCGACAGGAACTTTCATGGGCTCGCTCCACTCCGGAACTGGACACAGTCGACACATGATTTCCTTTGTCTATAGCCTTTTTCCAGAAGTTTGACGCAGCAAAGTAACCAGATGAGTTATTAGTTTCTTCAGGGCATGCAAATGAATGGAAGCATTTGTACTGTGAGGAGATCTTTAGTGTTTTCTTTTTTACAATCTCATGTTTGAAAAAGATGCCATTTTGATTTCAAAGGGACTATAATGSTGCGCTTGTTTTATGCCGGGCAACCGCATACAGCCATCTTGTAATATCGCAGTCCCCTGTAGCACAATTGTTCTGTTTTCTGTCGCTAAATATCTTTATTCTTTTTTTTTTTTAATTTTATGTTTTCTATATATTTTCTTGTCTAGTAATTGTTTAGTTTCATTATCTGTTTCCCTTTCTATTTTGCCCTTTTTTTTCTTTTCCAGCTTTGCCTTTCTTTTCTTTCTTAGTCGCTTTTCGGGCTGTTTTCGCGATTGTTTGTTTGTTGTTTTTTTTCAGGAGGCGGTTATCGTTTATTTCTGTTCTATTATTCCAGCAACTCTTAGTCATAAAATAGAGAACACTCACAAATTTCAAACCTTACTTGAGTCGGTCGAAAATATCCGAAAATGTGCAAGACCGTATTTTTTTCATGTTACAGATCATCAGCTTTGAAATCTTTCAAGATACARAAACGTGTATGGCGAAAATCCAACGGGCTTGGGTATCAGGCTTGGAAAAACTGTAAAGAATGAGGATCGGTAACAATCCCACTTCCGGTCAAGGCATTGAGTACATCCGGTTGCTTTGATTTCAGACATCAGATAACAATAAACAGATGCTCAAATCAACCAATCACAGCTCAGTATACTTTATTGCCAGAATATCTCCAATCCGGCTGCTTGACCCGCGAACCTCGCATACCAATAGTGGCCTCTACCTTGCCTGAATTCTAGAGAAAACAGTCGAGTTGTCACTTTTCTTTGGACTTTGAGAGTCAGAATGAAGGTTTTACTTCTTTTGGCATTCGTTGTGCTAGTGACTGCTTTTGCGGAGGCAAAACCAAAATGGAAGGTGAGATTCTGTGTATTTATGAGTTTATTGAACCAGGGGACTTATTCAATCTCTCATGGCTGTCAGTCCTTACATCAAGTAGTCTGTTATATTCGCGAAGTATATAGTACCCATCACGTTAAACCTCAGAGAAATCATTCTCTTTACCTATCACACCAATCYAGTGTGTATTACCCCGACGTGGCAAAACAACAGTTGTCCGAATTAATGAAATGCTTCTTCTGTTTCTAGAAGTCTTGAATTACAGTCATTACATTCTCATTGAGATGGCCTTCTTTTTTGGGCTTCTACGCCTCAGATTCTTCACTTTTGCTTATTTATATCTTTATTAATAGTYACAAATGATAGTTGATAATATCTTAGAGAGGGTTTCGCTTTACGTGGATGTTTTTGGCTGTAATCTAGAAAGCGTGAGAACAGAGCTGTCTTTGTACGTAGACGGGACAGGCGTGAAAGTTGCCCTTTGACCCACTCTCGCTAAAGCGCTAAAGCAGCTTGACAAAACGAAGCCTTGTATCATCATTTCTCGACTTTAAAACAGATAGTCCCTTCATAAGGCCTTTCCCTCCTTTCCGACACGATTTTTAGTTTGATTCCCTCATTTTTTGCTCAAATGTGAGAGTTTTTTTTGGCAACTTTCAACTCGTAAAATAATTTCTCCCAGAGACGATCCTTTTGCGTGACCTATGGAATTTGTCTTATGATGACGTAACTATCCTTTTCGTTCATACTCTTTATTATTGTTTTAAATTATTATTATTTTCGYGTTGTTAAAATTAACAAAATTAGAAATATAATAAAACTAATAGTGATAAAACCTGTTTTTACTTGCGCATGTTAAGCTCAACGTAAACTGCGCAGTTGTGTTGTGCTTGCATCAGTTGCTGGAGACTGGAAAGCAGGCGCTTRATAAACAATTATTCTGCAGCAAATGTTTCTTTGTCAACTGAAAACGCAGAAATTTTCCGAACATTCCTTTCGTTTGATGTTTTGTTTGTAGAAAGTTCTGCAAGAGAGGAAGCAAAGGATCACCGAGGAAAAGCACAGGCAACGTACGTATCACTACTATAMAATGACCCAATTGTTCCTTCTATTTCTACATGCAATTCATTATCACCAATCGATTTAGAATTCGAAATTAATTGCGAAAAATTTTCTTCTTGGTTACAGACTGCAGTGAGATAGAATGCCCTAAGTATTCTGCCTGCAAGATCAAGAAAACTGGAAAATCCATCAAAGTCATTTGCGTCAAGTAAGTAAGCAAGTTTACGTTTCTCAAGATTCATTACAAAATGAAAATGCACTATTTTATCTGATTTTGTCGCGGTTCAATCCTCATGCCAGATGCAAGCCATGCCCAGAAGRRGMGGAAAGTCGCCCAGTGTGTGGGACTGATGGTAACCAGTACGAGAGCCGCTGTGATCTGAACTATCAGGCCTGTATGCATAATAAAATAGGCCTTCTTAGAGTCAAATGCCAAAGTACTTGCGCCGAATGTAGCGGTAAGT